ATAACATATTCCTGCTTATAATTGCTTCGTTTATTAATACCGTCCTTCGTACGAGTCGGCGAAGCAGTCCTTTAAGCCGTCGAGGTCGATCCCTGAATGCATCATCCACGAACTACAGATCGATATAGGTATTACGGTTGCTCTAGCTCGTCATTATGCATCATTTACTTGACTCGCACGACTTATCACAAAGCCAACGTTATATCGGAGATCTCGCATTTGCTCGACGAATCGTCGCTTTTTTCTATTCCAACTCAAAAAACGTTCTTCCGTTTTCGAAATTTATCATCCATTTAGCAACATCATCAGCGAACATTCGACCGGAAGCTACGCGTTGTGCAACATAAACAATTAATGTACTTTTTACCTCCTCTCTCCCCTCTCTCTCTCTCTCTCTCTCACTTCTCTTTCTCTTTCTTTTTACTCAGCGAAAAAACGCGTTTTAGTAATTTAATCAAATTTTACGAAAGAGCTTTTCACTTCAAGGCCTTCCGGAGCAGCTGCAATCTTCCATAACGTGCCGGTAAGCAAAGAGAAGAGAAATGAAATTTCGCGCGCATTGCAAAACGTCGAAGGACGAAAAATTTCATGGATTTAATTTCGTTTTAAAACCAAATGCAATCTCCAACGTCGTCGATATTTCGGTACTTCGATCGTGCCTTGATAAAATGGTTCTCATTACGCGTTACTTAACAGCGCGAGCTGTAATAATTGGGGAATATATAGTTAAGTTGACAAAATTAATGAAAGTTTCGATCAATTTTAAACAAAATGATTGGCGTTCAATCAACAAAGAAGTAATTATGAAGAAGAAATAGCGGAAATTTCAGCATAATCTTATTTGCGGAAATAGCGAAACAAAATTTGTGAAACATTTTAAAAATGAGATAAAACAAAAAAGTTTTACAAAACAATCCATTCAATTAAGTGTAAAAAGTTATAATAGCAAATTTCATGAAATATAATTTCGCGTCATATTATGTTACCTGTAAGCTATATATACGTACGTAATATTAGAATATATTTATTTATTTATTATAACATTATATGATTATTATTATAAAAATAATAATTTTATTTTTGTTGTATTACTATATTTTCCTATATTTTAATTAACAAAAATTAATTTATACACAATGCGTTTCTCTGAAATTAATAAAAAAATTGTATTCACAATATGCGAGCATAGTCTGCACTTTTAACGCCTATCCTTATAATTAGTTATAAGAGAATAATTTCAAAATACAGTCAAACCTCGAACCTCTACATGTCGAAAACTTCTGTAAAACGAAAAATTTCTTTATTCCCTTTCCGCTCCACTACGGAAAATCTTTATAAATCAAAATAAAACCTACCTTAACTCGAATTATTTGTCAGATATTTAGATTTTTTATTTTATCTCTGCAACTCGAATTTAAAATAGCCAGACCTCTACAAGTCGAAGTTCACCTCTATAAGTCGAATCTCCGCATTGTCGCTACCTCTATAATTCGAAGTAGTTGTAGCTATGTGTAACCATATGAGTATTAGCCTGGTATTTTGTTTTACGATTTCATTTATCATATGTATGTAATAAATAATTCACTGTTTAAATATTGATTTTGTTTTTTTTTCTAAAAGCCATTATAATCGGAAAATTGATAAACTCTCGTACAGTCTTCGTAAGTCAAATTTTCATATGTTAACATTTAAACCACTGTATCGGTCTCACAGACCGCTACTGAAACTTTACTTGTCAACAATTTTCTTATTTGTCACCATTTAAATATATTTTATTTCTATTGTATATGAGATTTTTTGGTTAACCCTCACATTAAAAAACATATTTTTTTCCATTTCCCCATTCAACAAATATTCGGAAAACATACATTTTTATTAATAATTGACTTATAAAATTAGCGGGAGCATAATGCAGTCTGTCAGACCGACAATGTGGTTAGTGTGATTTTTTTGGACGTGGTGGTTTAAAGATATTAACCCTCTTTTACTCGAATTTCGAAAACTCTATAACTCGAAAAAGGTTTTTCTGTTCCCTTGAGATTCGAGTTATCGAGATTCGACTGTATAGAAACTGCAAATTTTTTCCTATCCAATATATGAGATTAAATGAGAGAGATAACATTATTTAGATGTATCAGTTTAAAGCCCTATAAGTCGAAAACGCACAACGCAAACGCAAATGCGGAGAAAAAAAAAGAAAGGAACGTTAAAAAAAAGAAAAGAAAGAGAGAAATGTCCGCGTTTGTGTTTGCGTTTTGCGTTTGCGACTTTTGTAGATGGGGCTTAAGGTAAACGTACCAGTGGCTGAACGCGTATCTATGTCTGAACAAATACACAAAAATTTATTTTTAAATGATTTTTTTCATAATATTATAATTTAATTGTAATCTTTAAATATTTTTACAATTAAATTTTGATATTATAATAAAAAAAAGTATTTGAAATTAATAAATTTTGTGTACGTGTTCAGATATAGATACATGTTCAGCCAAGCTGGTACGTTTACCTTAACATC